CTCAGAGTCAGACTTTGATTTATGACTTCGAATGACTGAAAACAATCAAAACGTTCGTACACCTCCTGACCATATGGAATCAGGAATAAAGATTGACTAACCGCTCATTTCCAACGTAAGATCCACGAGGGACTGTCAATAATTGGCCAAAATAGCCTTCCTTGTACGTTGTTACATGGCAAAATTATTCCCGGGCGAAATAGGTATATCGTTTTTAATTTAGTCAGTTTCACTCTGAAGAACAGTGGGATTAGCCAAGGAAAATGGAACGTTATTTTTCGGTCAAACCTGGCTAAATGAAAGGAATGACTATTACCATTTTCTACTCATTTCTTCAATCTCCCGCATAAAGGAAAATCTGCTGAAGAGAAGTAGGAAAACGAACCAATTTTTCAAACTGGAAAGGTAAATTTCTGGCCGACCGGTCAGACCGATTAAAGTGGACCACTCCAGCCGGTCCCAAATACTCCGATCGGAAGGGCCCGAAACAAACCTTTCCATTTGACTTTCGACCAAAATTTCCAGAATTTAATTCTGGCATAAAGAAAAACACCCTATGCAAAGCATCCCTCATTTGAGAGTCTGTTATATTATTATCCAACTGCAGCGAATACCGTCAAAATAACAGTACAAATACTTACCGCGATATTGCACAGTTATTTGCACAGTAGAAAACCCGTTTGCCGGACAGGTCGACGCGCGCACGCACGCACGCAAAACTGTCACACTCTCCCTCTTTCACTGATAAATTTATTGACTACAGCGGTTGGATAATAAATCTCTTATTAGATGTTTTGATGTGTAGTATCGCTGCATATTTTTACTCGTTGTTTGTATTTGTACAGCAATACTACATATCAAAACATCTAATAAGATATATTTATTGCGGTTTAAGCCAATTTTGAGAGCAGGTATATGCGACTGCGACGGCGACGGCGAGGGAGATGCATTGCAAAAAATGTGTTTCTACTTTACTTTGGAATTTCGCATTTATTTGGAACTATCCAGTGTGTCTGTCGGTATCAAAACATGCCCCTGCTGAATATGCTACGAATCTATTCGTTCAATTCCAAATAGAAATACAAAAAATTAGCCGTTGTGGTTCACGTTCTCCAGACAACGCAGAATTTGATCATTTCAGACGTTGTTGTTTTGCAGAGGACGGCAAAGAAATGCACTTGCACAGCCATTGTTTTGCTCATTAAACCTTTTGTTTAGTGACGTTCTCGTTGCCGTCGCCGTCGTGTTTTGCGTAAGGTCCCTATTGGGTTAGTTTATTAGTTTTCGCCGCGAATCATATTTTGATATATTTCCTCCTTTGATCTTGATTTTCAATGTAGATCAGTATTCTAGACCTTTATCTTATTTTAAGAAGCGTGTGAGTTAATTCCGATGAAGAGAAACTACAGCGCATGCTAAATTGTGCCCTTCGTTTTGCTGTCTCCGGTTGTTACGATAGGAGCTACGTCTAGCAAGCAGCACCGTTCAGCTCTCAAAATTGTATGTACTTGGCAAAGATCCTTTCGAGCGACACAACCATTCATCCAACTATAGCTATTGAACGGTAATCTTCAATCAAAAATGCTGTATTATTTAACTTTTAGATACAGATTGGGTCATGTCTGCTTACTTGTGGTATCGTGACGACTGTTGATGTCTCTTCGTGTGAACACAACGGCACACGGGAGTTTCCAATCCAGCGAAAAATGAACCGCATCGCTCTGCAGGGAAATCATGACGTGAGTTAATATACCGTAAAATTCCGAAAAAAGCCCCGGGGCTTATATTTTTCAAAGGACCTTTCTGAGGGACTTATTTTTGGAAGGGGCTTATATTCGGAGGGGCTTATTATGGGAGGGAAATTTCCGTTCAAAATTGGCTGGGCTTATAACTGGAGGGAAATTTTGTCAAAAGTTTTGAATGTGCAACTAGTAATATTAGGGGTTTTGGCTAGAAATTCGTGACAAATTAATCGCACTGAAAATGCCAAGTTCAAACACAACGGCAATAAACTTTATTACAACGGAAATACAGTAAAAACGGTAACGTAGTTTAGGCTCAAAGTTCATGATAACTATGAAAGCTCATATCGTTCTTCATTAGTTTCCACTGCGTCAGTGGCTTCAAGATCTTCCTGGTTTGTATAATTGACGATAATTTCCAAATACAAGCCCCCGGGGGCTTATATTCGGAGGGGCTTATTAAAGGAGGTATTTTTGCGTTTCCGATTTGAGGGGCTTCTATAGGGAGGGGCTTATACACGGAGAGGCTTGTTTTCGGAATTTTACGGTATTCTATTTCCTGGAACAAAGACACATTAAAGACCGTTCCGGTGGGACTACTCATTCTAATTTACAGTTGACTTAAAATACCTAAAACGAAACAGACAACTCCATAAATGAAATACATAGATGTGCTTATGGTTTTGTTTCAAAATCGAACGTACTTTATGTGGTTTTACGATTGCAGAGTTCAACAACTGATCAAGAAAAACTATGACAACGTACTTCAAACAATCAATATTGTGATTTTGCTACTACAGCCAGTCAGAAGAATTAGAAGAATCGTGATTGGGCACATGCCAAGTTTCCCGCGCTGATGGCACTATTATTATATGATTTACACCCTTCCAACCAAATGTGCCCCATTGAAATCCTCGAATGGTGAAGTAATTCAAGACAAGGCCAAGCAACTCGAAAGATGGGTTGAACACTACTTTCAGCTCTACGACCATGAGAACCTAGTCTCCGCAACTGCACTCGACCAGATCGAGAGACTGCCAAACATG